CGCAGTTAAGGAAAGAAGAAGATGCGTGGAAGGCGGCGAGACTGGATAGAGCTGCTTCTTGTTGGGACGAGTTCAGAGCGGTGACCAAAAACTCCAAGACCTGGGAGGCTGATTATTTTCGCGAGTGTAGAGATGAAGACCCCGCAAAGAGTATTCATGAGCATTTCCAAGCCATATTCAAAGCTCCAGCAGAGGAAGGTGATGTTGACGGGCAGTTGACTGACATATGTGCGAGGCTTAGTGGGGGCTTGACACCCATCACGGAAGAGGAAATCACCCGTGCAGTCATGGCCTGCAAGCCGAACAAAGCTGTAGGCCCAGACGGAGTACCCAACGAACTCCTGAAAGGCCTTGCGGAAGACCCCATCTTGCTACAGGCTCTCACTCTTTGGTTCAATCGTATTTTCAGCGCCAGAGAAATTCCGACGGAGTGGAGTGAAGCAATCATGAAGCTGCTTGCTAAGAAGTCTGTCCCGGTTGCACCGTCTGATCTGTGGCCAATCGCTCTTTCGTGTCACACCTGCAAAGTCTATGCTACGGTCATCACGAACCGCCTGCACAATGAGCTGCGCCCAAAAGCCTCTAGGCCCAGGCAACTGGCGGGAAAGGGACGGAGGGCATGCGACCTCCTCTGGTCGGCCAAAACACTGATGGCACTCCTTCGGGAGTGGGGACGCCCAGCAGTGCTGGTTAAACTGGATGTTACACGGGCATTTGATTCCCTGTCAAGGGTACAGCTGGCATTAAGGATCGCCTCATGGTGTGGACACAAACCGAATGAAGCCGCCAACCTGGTCTTACTTCTCCGCTCGTCCAAGATGTTTATTCATCTTCCGTGGAGTTCGTCGATCGTGAAGGCAGATAGGGGAGTAAGGCAGGGAGCGCCTGAATCGCCGACATTGTTTGCTAAGGTCATCGAAAGCGTGTTAGAGGAGATCGATCGTTCCGAGGGGCTAGTCTTTGATGGCCTTTTGGCTGATTTTGCTGGTTTCATGGACGATCTATTCCTATTCAAGAGCAGTGTCCCACACATGCGAAGCATGCTGAACGAATTGATCCCGCGTTTAGCGGCCCTGGGGCTACAAGTACAACCTCCGAAGTGCCAGCTCTTCTTGATTGGAAATGTGAGGAGTACGCGTCTACTTATCAACGATTTCAAGCTTTTGCCGCTCAGGGATGATGAACCGTTGATCCTCATGAATGCGCTGGTACACCCTATTATTGGAGATATCGACGTGCTGTATTTCCAGATCAACAAAGCCAGGAAGAAACTGTATTCGCTGAAACATATCCTCCAAGGGAAAGGGGCCGTTCGGTCTAAACTGAAACTTTTGGAAGTGGTGGTGTTGGGGTCCTTGCGGTGGATGTTGGGGGCTGTGTTCCCTTCAGCGAGAGCGCAGCATGCCCTGAACGCTTTTCAAATGTACTCGGTTGCGTAGCACTTCAAGTCAAGCGAGGTTCCAGCGAAGGGTGGGTCGACTACAGACAAAGGGCCTTTAGAATGGCAAGGCTGTGTATCCACCGACGTCAGTTTGAAAGATGGGGGACCCTTGCGCTCTTTCTGGCAGTACACGGGTCACCGTATCCGTTCAGCTTATAGTGACTTCCCAACAGTGGCGTCCCAACTATCGATGTTCAGATCGTTACAGTGGTGGACCCTTGAACAAGAAAGGGTTGATGGGAGGCGCCGCCGGCGCCATTTTCCGTTTCTAATGAGTGTCGAACGGGATATAGCCAGCGTCGCGACAGTGGAGTGGAGGGAGAAGGCGAGGGACAGGGCTTTGTGGCAATCGTTGTCCGCTCAATGGGTAGCAAGGTTTGAGGTGTCGTGGAGTTCCTGCAGGCAGCCCATGCTTTGTGACTTGTACCTTTGGAAGACCCCCCTTGAGCTGAACGTGTGGTTTCGAGGACCTATGTGCGTGTGAAGCCGCTTTGCCAGCGACTGAAAGCTCATAGCTACCTGGTATGCAAGCCATGTTTGCAGTGATGCTGCCTCCGTTTCTTTTCGTATGGTGCCTCGCTGAGCCTGCTGTGATACCGACAGCGGGGAATGCAGGGCAAGTGGAAGGGTGGCCATTTTGGCTACACCGGGAGATGCGAAGCAGCCCTTCGGTGCCTTCGCTCCTGACGTCAGCAGGGTGGAATGGAGAATCAGGGATGGCCGAAGCCGAGCTGTATCCTTTTGGCTCCTGACCAGAGAACCGTGAATACCAGCAAAAGGACACGAACAAGAAGTGCCGAAGGACAGTGGCTATCGAGGTGCACCAAGTCTCCGGCAATGCCGGGCTGTGGTTTCTCCGGTGTGTGATGAAGAAGGCTCAAGAGATGACTCCCTTGGTGTTGACGTTCAGGGACGTGCCCCAAATCTTGAGCTTCTACCAGGGTTATGGAGCAGGCCGTGCTCCTCTCACGGAGTGGCGCAGGCGCCTTCTACCTGCACCAATGGAACTGGGTATCAAGATGAAGAAGGCCCTTTGGACCAGCTACAGGCCGACCGGGATGAGGGCTGTAGCTGTCGAGGTGAGCTCCATCCCCGGCGACGAGGGTGTGCTGTTTCTCCAGTATGTCTTGACAGTAGCTTAAGCGTCAAAGTACCTCCAGATGAAGATCAGGGACATGCCCGACATCTTGAGCTTCTACCAGAGTGGTGGAGCCGGCCGTGCTCTTCCCCGGGATTGGCGCAGGCGCCTTCTACGTGCACCAATGGAACCGAGTATCAAGATGAAGGGGGCCTTTCGTACCAGATGCCGGCCGAATGGGATGATGAAAGCTGGGAAACTGAAGAAGCGTCCCCCATGATGCGGTGGAGCAAGTCCTCGTGGACCCAAAAGGACTGGGGGAGTCCACCAAGACGCAGACGCCACGTGCGCAAGGTTGCGCCGGCAAGGTCCTCCTCGCCGGCAAAAAAACGCACCAAGGGCAAGGGCAAGGGAAAAAAGGGCAAAGCAAATCAAGGATGGTGGAAGTGGGTCCCGTTCCCGATAAGCCTACGGCACCATGGAGGATGCCGGAGAACAAGTCAGAGAAGAAGTCAGAGCATGAGGAAGTGGAAGTTGTGGATGACGATGAGGAGCAAGACGACCAATGGGGACAGTGGAATCAGACTTGGTGGACTGATTACTACAGCAAGCACGTCAATGAAGAGGAGAAAGAACCAGTCTGTGGCTCCTATCACGCCCCAGGGACCTGTTCACGCGCGCGCGCAAGCGTGCGCGCGCACAGGATATACTGGCCCTGCCAGTGA